TCCTTGGTTGCAGTTTTGTCAAACTGCAGCTAATAACAACATTTAAATTGACTGATGAATTTCCGTAAAGCAGGGTAGGGTGCTACCTTTAACTAAGTATCTTCACTAATGCAGATGATAGCTCCGAGGGAGTTTGTTAAAAAGTTAGTGTCAAGCTCTACATCTCAAAGCTCCTTATGGTTCCTTAAAAGCTGAAAGAATTTTAACTAGATTTTCTGTGTCTTAATAACACAAAAGAATGTTTTTGAAGACTGCTGTTCATTGCATCATAATCTCTTTAACTGTGTTAAGACACTAAGATATTTTTTAAATAACAGTGTGTGTAATTTTGGGGGAAAAGGGATATCAATATGTGATTATTATGAAAATGAAGAGGCAGCTAGTAGGTATGGAATTTTTCAGAAACCTTGCTGTGTTCAGTGTAGCATTACTAAATGACTGAAATCTAAATAACATTTGGCATTATAATAGAAGAAAATAACTGACTAAGCTAGCCTAAGAAGCAGTGATACTGCACCATAATAAGAAGTGTTTTTCTTCAAGCAGCAGTCTTTCTTCTCTGAAATTAGACTGAATATAATGGAGGTAATTAAAGATATATACTTACCGGACAGCAAAGCACAAAAAAGTTAGGTTTAAGGACACACTTTCAGAAGACATATTTGACAAAAAACTTTACTCACGTGAGTAGTTGTTTTCAAGACTGGCCCCTCAGTGGGTATGTTCTTTGACTGGAATCCCTGAAACCTTCAATTCAGCTTAATATTAACAGTGAAGATTTTAAGGTAATTTGAAAGCCTTGATGTAGAACCTATCTTGCAGACTCCTGTTGTGAAAAGAGAACCTCTGGACCATGCTGCCTGGATGGTTACTTTACTTTTTCTATATATCTACTTGTGTCTTTTCATTAGTTGTAATAGTTCTGCAGGCTTGGGATTATAATGGCAATACTGTCCTTTTAATAAATTCAATGTAGCTATTGTTAAGTGTCCAGTAAATGGAAAACCAGCTGTTTTCAAGGAGCAACAGAAGAAGGAAAAAAACATCTTTCTTTGGGCAAAACAGTTATCCAAGGGTTATAAGAACTACTGTATATTTCTCTGCGGTAAAGAAACATTTCCCTTTCTGTTCCTAAAACCATCTTAAATCTCTAACATCAGTTAGTAACTGTAAGACTGGTGTCAGGAATAACATATCCCAGCTGCATTTTAGAATGAATTGAGCTGGGACAAGGGGTCCTCAGAGCTTACTGAATGGGTGAGAGCTTTTAAAGGGAGAAATCAATACTACAGCAGGATTTAGACAACTTGGCAAAATATATCAGACAGAACTTTGGTCAAACAATAACTACAACAGCAAGTTAACCCATGGAGTGCCTGAAGTACAGTCTATAGCATTTCACTTAAACTCTTATTTGAAAAGTAGAACGTTACTCTAGCAGGGGACTGGAAGTATCCAGTACAGTGAAGGTTGCAAATCCATTTCCCTTAAAGGTCTCGTCCTCACATCTGTCATCCAAAATCTTTTTGACTGTAATTTTTCACATCTGACCTCAGGTTAGACATGAGCAATTAAAGGATTGTTCAAGAAGTAAAATTGCTCAAATGTAAAGAAAATGTACACTTTTTTCTGAGTTACTACTTAGTAGGAGAGGTACCTTTCTTATAGTCAGAAGGAGTAAGCAATAATAAAAAGACTAAAAGACTTTCTTGGGGAAAGTCTTGGTAGAGATGAATACCTGTACTTCGTTTTGGGGGAAGAGATTAGCATCTGAAAGGTCTGTCACTGCAAGTGTATTTGCTCAGGTCTTAGCAGAACATACTTTTAGTAACTGCATTTCCCGTGCATGGATTGACATCAGACGCAAGGACAGCTGCCCATAGGCTAATCCTGGGTTTGCGTGAGGAAGACTGTAACTTCCTTATAACACATCCTGTGAAGAAGTGTCAGAAGGCAAAAAAAACAACCAAAAAAAACCAAGAAATGTCTCAGGCAGAACTGAAGAGTGATTTTGGAGTCTAATATTCTGTTAATTTTAGATTTCTAGATTTACACTTTAAAAATCTCTTTTTCCTATTGAAATGACAGAGAAATAGTAAGAGCCTGTAAAAAGACTAAGTAAATGGCCAGTAAAATGATGCTGTTACCAGTCAAATACTACAAGTAAAATGTAGAGGAGAGGAGAGTCACTTGGTTTCAAAACCGAGGAAATTAAAAACATAAAATTACATTAACACCCTCACTGAGCACTGAACTTCCTTGCAGTGATGCCCTCAAACAGAGCTAGGCTGTGGGAAATATTTCTTATAAAGTTTTAAAGCCCCATCCACCTTCAGTTAAGGTACGAGAGTTCCAAATTCACACATTTGGCATTCTTAGTGGCCCTCAGCAAAAGTATACAGGAATGGAAATCTTTCTTTTAAGTATTTTCTCATTGTTTATGTAATCCTATTCAAGTCATACAATATGAACAGTTCACTTTGTGGCTGAAATTAATACATTTGCTGGAAGGTTGTGGGTTTTTGACTTTTCCTGAAACTTCCTGTGTGCCTACATGCCAGGTACCTCCCGAGCTGCAGCACCTGTTGACGTACCCAAGCCAGTTTAGATTTGTTGATTTGGGTATTGCCAGCAGTGGTGCTAAAGCAGCATGGATCTCGCCTCTATTGCAAAAT